GTGGGGGGCTGAGGGGTGGGTGAGGGTGGTGGAGGTGGTGGTGGTGGGAGGGGGGGGGGTGACTGGAGGCAGTGCGCACGGAGTGGGGACGCTCTCCCTCATTAAGGCAACAACACGCCTCCGATCTGTCCTGAATGATTAGCATAATTTATTGAGCCCCCTTTAACTGGTCCGATGGGCGGTTCCAGCTGTCGTTAATCGGCATGGAGTGCAGTTTCAGTGGAGATCTCCACTTGTGGAGCATTGGATCGCTGCGCAAAGAGGCTTTTAAGGGATTACAAGCTGCATTTTGCGAATATAGTTCAGTATAAGGGCATTGGAGAAGAAGAAAAAAAGACACAGCAAGCATAGTTTTTAAGGCTGACTGATTTGCTGGGTCAATGCATGCCTCTCAGATTAAGCCTTGACTTTTTGGTGCTGCGTAAAAACGCAAAGGAATATGAGTGTTGAAAGGTTTAGTTTTTACTTAAATAACTGCACGTAAAGCGTGATAATAGAACATCTGATCGCGTCATGGTTATCGATAGCTTTCAAATGAGGAGTCAGAAATCAGAGCCCAAAGACAGATGAGTGAGACTCCACCGTTTCTTGGCCTCTGTTTGGTGGTTCTCCGAGTAGTGATGAGGTGTTAATCAGCATTCTGTTTGGCGTGATGACTGGGTGTTGAGCATTGCGTACAACCCCCCGAAGTAACTCACAGAATATAGTATGCAAAATTACTCCAGAATTCATTAACATATTTTTTTAATCCCCCACATATCCGAAAACATGACGATACTAGTGTGAACAAGGTTCTTCTGTAAGAGGAATGTCAGACTATGCAGAGGACAGAAGTGAAACTAAAAATTCTTGCATTTGGAATAATCTCCCTCACCATCCATCTGGAGCATTTCAAAATTATGTTATGCATTTTCCCTCTTTGGCTCCATCATCCGGTTCCAAACAGTACTCCCAGGCACAGACAGCTGAAGGCTGCCTCTGTTTTTCTTATGAATTCATACAGAAAAATACATAATTTGTTATCAATTTAATTTTTTATCATTCCTGTAAAGAGGGTAGGAGACTTGAAATTTATGTTAAAGAAGTTGATTGTATTTTATCATTGATGGGGCTTTTTACTGTTTATTTTCTTTATACAAAGATGTCAAATCCAATATTGTTCATACCCCATTCTGCATCAGTAGGAACATTTACCATCACAACTATCTAGCAAATCTTATCATTAGTATTAAGCCTAATACAAAGCCCTCGTTTTAAATCTACCTTTGGCATCTGTCATGATCACTTGTTTATGTTGTTTCCATCCACAAGAATCTTGTTAGTCAAATAAAAATTCTATGGAAATAAGAAGACATAGCTTTGCAAAACACAAAATCTAAATGAATGTCAACACAGGCATTTGCATCTGTTTCATGTTATTAGAACCATATCTATTTATCTGAATTCTCTGGCTCATAAATCTAAGTATGCTGCCTAAAACTCAAACAGTAATTTTTGAATATGCAGGGGAAAAAAATTATGTTCAAGAATGTGAAATATCCATAAAACCTCCACAGGGCTCTCTTTCTTGAACTCTGTTTCTCTCCAGTACACACAGAATAGAGAACATTTGAGAGATGTATGGATAGATAACTATTGATTTCTCTAATAATTTAGAGCGCTTTTTTTGTGCTTCGGTTTTCTGTTTCCCCAAACATACAATGCCTTTGCTCAGTATATTTCAACTAGTGTTCTATTGGCAAGTAATCTAAAAACACAACACCTTAAGATGAATTGCTTTAATTTGTTTTTAGGTCAGTGCCTGATTAGCAGTAACAACTCTAAACTCATTAGTTGTCAGAGACAACAGGACTTCAGTGTTTTGTTGCTTGATGCAGGCTGAGTCTGATAAAAGTAAACACATTAGGACACTGATGCTGATTCAGCCTAATTACTATCATCATGAGGAGATTAGGCCCATTTGACTAAGATCTCCACTTATGTTATCTGTATTGTACCTATTTGGGTGGCAAAAAGTACTTATTTCTATAGTTATCCAAGGTGAATGTCACACTTCCTTTTCATGTAGTTACTTTGTACTTTTCTAGCCACAATAAGAAGATATAATAACACTGTTAGGGCTCACCTTTATGGAGGGGATGTGTGAAGCACTAAACGTGGGTAGTTATCCCTCAAACAGCCAGTGGTGCTATAAGACCTGTTGAAATATGCATTCAGATTCAACTGAAGGCTGACTTTTTCCAACATGTAAAAGCTGATATAATAGCTGAAGCAGTTTGAATTTTCAAAGGTTCCTTAGTGAAGAAAAAATAGCAGATATGACATGCTGTCTGGAAAAGGTAACCTAACCCTCCTCTTAGGGAGAGAGCATGGTAGGGTTCGGGCTAATCTCTCATCGGTGGCTTCCATAATTGACCTCTGGTCTCTGAGATTGGCTTGCGGAAATTTTTTTGACTATTCCAAACAAAATTCTTTCAATTGCAAGATGTTTGAGGTTTTCTCATCTTGGCTGCTCTTTTAAAATCCCCCTGCAACATTTCAGTGGGATTCCTATGTGGACGTTGAGTTGGCCACTCAAAAATCCACCTTCATTTTTTTTTTACTTCAATTTGCTTGTGTGCTGAGGATGTCCACTTCCAGGTTGACCAAGTTTCTGACATATAGCCTCACGTTTTGTTCAGTTACGTTCGATTTGATGTAGAAATTCAAATACGTACATCTGAAAGCTGTCCAGTTCATGGCAGCAGTGAAACACCAAACCATGTCATCTGTATCACCATTCTTCACAGATTTGTCTCCTGATATTCCCTTCATCTGCACAAAATGAGTCGACTGCCAGTTTAGCCACACAGTTTCTGATTATTTAAAGATAAACTCCGTTTTTACAGCTACTCCTTTCCTTTGTGTTATTTTTGGCTTTTGTTAGGCCTTCCTCATACAGTCTCCTCGTAGGATTTGACACAAACAATTCACTAGCAACAGTGTCACTAGTTCAGTAGTCTAACCTTTACTAGTCAGACATGTCTTAGATTTTGGAGTTGTGACATGAGACATTTACAAGCTGCAAACATAATTTAGATCAGGGATTTCTAAATCTGGCTGCAGTTTTGCAGTCTTTAGATGTGTACCTGATTCAACTCACCTGATTTAGGTTGAATAGAGCTCTTCTAAAGATGAAGTTCCTGATAAGGCTGCCAATTGTGCATTGATTTGAATCAGGTGTGTTTAAGCATTGAACCATCCAAAACCTGAATTACAGCAGCCCTTAATGACTGGATTAGGAGATTCCTGATCTAGATGTTCTTAGTAAAAGTGCCTTTTAAACAGAGGTGTAGTCGAGTTCTGTTCCCTTGCATTTAGTCTCTGGTTGTCTTCAGACATCTGCAATGAATATAAACAACTGACCTACTATCTTCATCTCTTACCTTTCACAAGATCTCTGAAGAATAACATTAATCAATATTATATTTCTCTCACCCAGTGATGTTTCTACTCCTTTTTTCTCTAAAGTAAGCATCTCATAATCTGTTTGTCAAATATCATAGCTCATTCTGCCTTTCAGGTTGCGTTTTGTGTCGCTATTCTACCCACAAATCTATCTCAGCCAGCTTCTTTCTTTACCACTAGCTTCTAGTCTAATTTTTCCTCTGAGGCTCACAGTGTCACTTCTCATTAGTTTTAAATGTTTGTGATTTAAAAGGCTCCACTGTTACTCTGTGAAGAGGTTCTGATCACTGGTGTTCGATGTGGAAACCCATCTCATTTTAAGGGTTCACAGATGTGATGAATTGACTTGCTTTCTGGGTTTTATTTGTTTATACTTTGAAAAATAGGCCTTCTTTAAAAATATAACATTAATTTCAAATGCGATAAACAATTGCCTTCATATGTAAAGTTTTCAGAAAGAACCAAAAAGAATAATAATTTCCATTTGATGTCCTCAACTGGCATTGCTTTTAAAGTGCTGACATTATATGCTATAGCTAATACTTAGTGTTTATTTTATGCTTTGTATTGATTTTATTCCGTGACTTGGATGCCCATCAAAACATATTTACATTGCAATTTGTAATGCATATAAAAGTTGTTGAATAAACATATTTAATATATTCTTGTCTGTATAATTAGGTGTCATTTTTTGTTTAGTGTGTAATTATGCCACTTGATTTTATTCATTATATATTGCCATGTGTACAAAAAAATTAGGCAGGCTTGATGAATTTTCTTATGATTTTCGGCAGTATATTTATTGATCGGGAAAGAATTTAGGCTTTTGATTGGACACAGCTATTTTTTTAAGATAAAGTGTCGAAAAAGGCTTCGTAGCCATTCACTAACGTGTTGACGCCATCTAGTGGAGAAACAACGAACAGCTTCCTTCTTGTTTTAAACTATTAATTGTCCGGAACCCCCGCAGAGGGTCAGAAACACGTTTACTTTTTTGGCGACCCTGTTGTTTTTAATGTGATTAATGCGATCCAAACAACGGTACAATTAGCCTGTCTTTCCAAAGCGGGAGGAAAGCACTTCGTTTTTTTTTTTTTACTTAAAAGTGACAGATGGAGACTGGGGGAAATAAGTCACGTTGCTAAGTCCATGACGCAAAAGCACTCTCCATCAGGCAGGATAAAAAAAGAAAAAAAAGTGACATAATCTCACTGAGGCTTTGGCATTTTTAAAAGGAAACCACTCGTGTTCACACCAGCTCACAGCAGGAGTTTTGGAACCTTCTGACGCACCTTCGGAGCGCATCATCCTCGCCTTGACAGCGGCCTGCATCACAGCGATCCATTGCTGTTTATTTTTAGAAGCTCTCGGTCGCCACGTTCCAACGTCACTCTGCACACATAGCATGTCCCCACATTCAATAATTCATATGTTGTAGGCCTGTTGGCGGCGGACTCGGGGAGCAGACTGCACCACACTGGGTGCAGCCCTTCAGATCGACACCTCCAGGCAGCTCAAGTCAGAAGTCACCAGCAAAGCGCGAGGTCACCGCGATGAGGTGAGTCCGTCGATGTTTGATTTGCAGAGAGAGGTTCGGCCTGCATGCTGGAACAGACACACAAAAAAAAGCAAACCTACACATCAGATCTCATGTCAGTTTAATGGGGTTAGCTCACATGTAGGTGGAGGATCGTTATGATTAATCCTCAGTGGGAAAGGGAAAAGGTTAAAGTTCCACTCTTAGCAATCATGGAATTTTAGGCAACAAAACTACACAGAACCAGACTAATGTCTAAACAACTGATGATCATTGGGTTTGATTGTGCTCTCCACGTGTTGCCAAGGTGTTCTCTCAAAGCCTAGGTGTCTGTCTAGGTCTTGATTGGGTTCATCACTTCCTGGAAGTGTCAAATCTCCTCTTCCTTTCTGTCCAGGAAGCAGACAGGCTCTCAGAAGGCCACCATGTACACAGAGTACCAGTCCAGCTACCGCGCTCCCAGCTGCTACACGGCTGTCACCTCCACAACCACACAGAAAAACCCCTACCACCCACTGAAGGGGACTGGAGACGAACTCACCACCATTAGGTACCCTCTCCTCCTTTAGAAGGTAGGCCCCACCCACCCAATATGTCAACGTGTGGATGTTTTTCTTTCAGAACATATTATGTCACCAAAAAAATGACCAAAAGTACACCGAAAGTCTCACGGCCACCATCGCCACCGAAACACATGAAGCCCACAGTAACCAGAACTCCACCCAAGGGTGACTACACCACCGTGTATCAAAGTAAGCAACCAGGCAGCCATCACTGTCATATATATATATATACAGCAAATGTGTAGCAGGAAGCCACTAATTGCAATTAAATAATCTCTTTCCAGACGATTTCCAGGCTTGGACAGACAGCAAGCGGCAGCCATTCAAGCTGAAAGACAACTTCAGCGTTAGCAAAGGATTTACTGTCCCGGAGAGCATTTCCAAATTAGAGAAAAAATACATGTCATTAAATACCAACTCATCCCAACCGAAGCAAGAACGAAAGGCTTTCGACGGCATCAGCAGCTACAGATCGGACTACGTGGCTCACCCGGTGCAGCCGCGGCAGCGCCGGACGGCCCCCGCCTACCAGCCCGGCAGAGGCCTACCCATGGAGGCCCCTTCAGCCAAGCCCAAGGCCGCGTGCCCCACAAGTCACGACCATCTCGATAGAGCCACGGAATTCTTTGACAATTTTAAATCCTGGTCCCTTAAAAACCAGCTCCAGAATCAAAATGCTGAATCCAAACCTCCAGCAGAGTGTCTGTCCTCGGCCCGCGCAGACCGCGAAACACCCAGGCCTCACAGCGCCAAGCCCGCTCAGCCCCCTCCGGGGTCCGGCCAGGGGGGCCAGAGGGGCGTGCACTCCTTCCACGCGGCGGTCAGCGTGCAGGAGTGCTGCCGAGCCTGGGACGGGCCGCAGCGCTGCACCCCTGTCCATAAAACAGAGCTGGACTGGCCCATGAAAACCACGTTTTCCCAGTGTAAACCCAAGCCCGCCGAGGCGAAGCCGGCCTCCCCGGGCCTCCGTCCCGCAGCCTTCCCGTCCAGCTGCGGCCCCACGGAGACGCGCCAGTCTCCCTTCCACTGCTCAGCCAGCATGTACTGGTCCAGCCCTTTGGACCGGGGACTGGCCTGGTTTTTAGCGGAGGTCAAAGCTTCGTGAGGATCATTAAATACACTGACAAGATGCAGTGCTGCCACACATTACCTCAGAGACGTTCTACCCCCACATCAATAAAAGCCATAAAAGGTTGTGAGTTTGAGTTACCGCTGATATTTCCATACTGGTGAGAACCTGGTTTTGATCATCACCTACAAAAAAAAACACCCCTGCTGCTGTACCTTTAGTAATGGTGCAAAGTGTTCCCCCTAAAAATTCATTTCTTCAGGGCTTATCGAGACATATCAACATTCTAAACCCAAAGCTTTTTGTAGATATACAACAAACACTGTAAAATCAGGAAATTAGATTTTTATTAAAAAAAACAATAAAGGTGTTGAGCCCTCCATGTCTTCCTGGGAGACTTTCAGAGCACGTATATTTACATCTATAAAGGATTGATTTTTAAAAAGGCCATCAATCAAAAGCAATACAACTAAATCCTCTCCAAGCACAGCAGCATTCCACTTTGTCTTAGAGGCTTCAGGGCACAAACACAAAGGTTACTAAAGTTGATTCCCTTGCAGGAGGTACACACTGACACCAGCCGTCCTGTCACCCCCCTTCATGTTTAAGTCTGTGGAGGTTTTTACATCTGCGTCTTCATTAGTCCTCGTCGAAACGGATGTGCTTATTAGCCTCCTTTGCTCGGGCGATGATGATTTTCTCCGCTTTGGAGATGAGCTGAAGCGGCACAAGGAAACAAAGTTAGATGTGACGGCAGATGAACAGTAGGCAGGTGCTTTTAGAATGGACGTTCATGGCGTGTGACTGAGTGGTTTGGAGTTGTATTCTAAATATTACACCTGAAACTTCTGTATCAATTTAAGCTACAGTCAAGCTATCTTGACCAAAGATTACATCAGACATGAAGACAGAAAGAATGAGACTGTTCCACACCAGCATGTTATGATTTTCTAACTGTATGATCTAACGCTGGTCTCACCTTCTCTGTGCCCCGCTTCTTCTCTCGGGGGCGGTTCAGCTTGACCTGTCGGTCCACCAAGATTTTCTGCCAGTACCGCTGTTCATGGTCACCTTTAACAGACGTGAGGTTCAGCATGAGAAACTTTCCCCATCATGGGGGGTGAAGCCCAGCCTGATCACCCCACCCGCATCCTCCCAGCAGAAGGAAACGGAGAGCACAGTCCACATACGAAAAAATTAAACATTGAAGAGAAAGACAGAAATTTCAAACCTTTTAGGACCTCCAGTTTCCAGCCGTGCTCTTTCTGTAGCTGTGCTTTCACGTCACAGATGGCTTTGGCTTCCTCTGGGGTGTGAAAACGGATGTGACCCTCGGCATCTCCTTCTAGGATGTCAATGTAGGCCACTGGTGATATTTTACACAGGGATTCCTGCACACATAGTGAAAACCGGGTAAATAAGGCAACAGCTCGTGGTGAGAACCGCCTTTATTTCTAGCGGTGTGGGAATCATCTGCTCGTTTATGAGTTAGAAAGATGAGAAATCAGTGAAGTGTACCGTACTTTAAGAATCCTCCTGACTGGTAAGGGCTTGCTGTCTGTAATCTTCACTATGACCCCGCTGACAAACTGTGGTCCCTGGTTGGTTTCTTTTTCCTGTTTTCCAGCCATCTCAACTGGGAAAACACAGTCACATTGATGTCTAAAATGTTGTCTAGAAGACAATACGGCATGTACAAAGCAGAAAAATGGCTTCTCACTATACTAAACTCACTATTTCTATCTTGACTATTGTCCCGTTTCTTGTGATCCATTTTGTTGATGCACTTCTTCAGGGACGCCATGCTCCGCTTCTGTAGGGTTAGGTACTCATCCTTCAGCTGAATCCATTCCTTCCTTGATGAGGATAAAAAGGAAACATGAATGTCAGGTGGTGTGATGACATACTTATTCTTAGTTCTGTAGGGGTTCCCCCCATCATTTAATCCATGTTGATGCAAGACTAAAAAGGATGCAGATCGTACTTTGATAAAACACGGAGTGGGATGACTTCTTCCCCGATTTTGAGTTTCTCCTTGTGTTTCTTCTTTCTCTTCCTCTTTGCCTTAACCAACGAATCATCTCCATTTTCTTTCTCTTTTTCAGCATCTCTCTCTGTCTCACTTTTCACGGCTGAAACTGATGGGGAGTAAGAGTTTACACAACATGCCTCCAGATTCCCATGAACACAGCATGTAGTATTTAGTAGGAAAGTCAGTATCCTGACATCACCATTCTTTAGCATTCTTTTCCAATTTCTATCTATATTGACCAGAATAATGACTGAATTTGAATTGAATCAATTAAAATGGGCGATACAATTAAACTAAAGGAATAAACATTCAGGGTATATTAGTTCAGGGGGTGTAAGCTGGTCAGACACTTCCAGTTGAAGTGAAACCTAAAATGTACCTGCAGCCAATTTTTAAGGCTTTGTTTAAGATTGTGAACTGATAAAAATCTGCACAGCATTCATGAGGGCAGAATCAAAGTTCCCCCCACCAACAGGGCTGGGGTTTTTGGGGTTTGTTGGGCTCTGAGATTAGGAAAGCCTGTGGGACTGAGAGAACTGTATTTGCTCGACATTAAAATGAACCCGGAGGATCACTTACTATGTGCTCTGTCTTTCTCCTGGTCTGCAGAGTGACTTTCACTGGTTTTTCTAATCTTGGAGGGTACGTGACTGTCTGCTGCCTCTGCTGTCTGCGACCGTCGCCGTTTTTTCTCGGACAGTTTGCCTGACGCCTTCTTGGCAGTCGCTACGTCCGGGTCCGATCCCCCGGCTTCTGGGTGTTTCCTCTTTAGCCCAGATGGCGCTGCTTCCTTCGCTGGTTCTTTAACTTCTGCAGGAGCCCGTACAGAAGCGGCGTCCTTCTTTTTCTTCTTCTTTCGTTTTTTCTTCTCCTCTTCACCTACAGTTTATCGGAAGCCAAAAATGGTAAATATATCATGCCATGCCAACACACTTTAAGTTGATTTATTACCAGCCTTATTTTTCAATTATAAGCTACCTGATGCTGGATTTACAGTAGGAAACGGAATTTGTTTCCCGCTTAACGTCTTGGGAAAAATCCCTGGTTTCCTGGGAGCGTCTTCTGGAGGGTTGTTCAGAATCTGTTTCAAACGATAACATTCCCTTTGAAGGTTCTAATAGAAAAAAGTAAGACTACTAGTTGCAACATGTAAAATAAGACGGTATTCCATATTAGAATCACCTCAATGGCTTGCTGTGCTTCCTCCTCTTTCTCAAACTCGACAAAGGCAAACCCTTTTGAGTCCTGAGAGGCCTTGTATCTGGGAATGCTAACGTACACCACATTCCCACATTTGGAGAACACCCTTTCTATCCAGCTGTGCGTCACATCCTTGGGCAAAAGTTCCTTAGACATGAAAAAGTGGAAATGCATTTTAGATAAATTGACCTTTAAAGAGATGCTCTTTAAATTAAAATTTTACGTGCAGATTTAAAACTCAAGTAATGGAAAACTTCTTTGTACCACATAGACCGTCCGGCTATCAACATTCTTTGGTGGATCTCCAATTGGATATTGACGTCTTACTTTAGTTCCTTCGAGGTTAATCTAGAACATGATGAGATTAAATGTTATTGAGCACAGGTTATGAAATCCCAAACATACAAAACACTTCTGGTAATTTGACCAAACTTTTTCTTCTTTTCTTACCTCAACTACAGATGAATTTTTCAGTGCTCTTGCAATCAGTTTGGTATCAGTTGTCAGCTTCTGCATGCGGCTGAAGCTTGTCAACACCGATAGATCAACGTCTACAACAAAAGTAAAATGTTAACAACACATGATGTCCTCTACTCAACACTCACGTTTAAGGTAGTAATTCAACCCCTTACATCCATCATTAGACTCATCAATGAGCTTTTTCAGAAAACGGTCCTTGTGAAGGTTGACATCTCCGAACCAGAACTCCACTTGCTTTTTTACATCTCCAAGAAGCTGTTTGACACGGGACCTCTTCTTTTTTTCTGTCTCCGTTTTCTTGTCACTGGATTTAGAAGATTCTGCATTACGAGCTACATTCTCCATGTTAATCGTCCTTAGAACAGGCAAACACAGATAATATTTAAGAGGTGTGAAAGTACAGTAGGCTCCAAAAATATGTCCCCCGCCCTTTTTAGTGGAGCTCTTGTTTAATTTCACATAGAGTGCATCTATATAATTACAATAAGACCAGGAAGGTGGACAGATATTGTTCCATAAAGTATAAATATAATCAGTGTTTAACACGCCCCTTCATCGTGTTTTCTGCAAACTCAGATAACCTCGTAAAAACCTAAAACTAAACCGAAAAAACAATATTGACAAAAACATTTATCGTTACGTTAAACTAATATCTAACTGACTACATAAGTAATGCGTCGCAGCTTAGCTTCTTAGCATGCAGTGCTTATGTATTTTGAATGCTGAGAATTCGCGGGTAACTGTTTCAAAATGCTCATATCATGCCAGACTTTCAAACTCCATAAAAAACTGTAGTAAATCCATGATGTAGCAGAACGCATCCTACCTGATTATGTTATAATAAGGCTGTCTAATTCTACAATTACAAAAATAACATCGGGCCGGAGCCTGCTTGCTAACAACAAGCTAACGGCATCAGTTCGTTTAAACGTGTCGCAAAGTGAGCTCGTCATAAACACGTGCAGTATATCTATTCAACTTCCGGTTTTTACCAATTGAAGCGCAAATAAAAAAAAAATATTTTTCAACATTTTTATTCACAGTTTTAGACATGCAACATGTAAATAAAGACGTATTGTAAAAAGGACAAAAAACAAAGTTGAACAGACAAATCATGTAAAATACATTTTCATACTGACCACAGATTTAACATGTTTTATGTTTATTTTATGTTGTTGCTGTTGTAATGATTATTCTTAACGATTATTCTGAAGGCAAGTAACAGCACAGGAAGTGTCACCGCTTTGCTTTTGGTGTGATATGTCCATCATAACAGAACGTGCACATGGCCGGTTAGCTCAGTTGGTTAGAGCGTGGTGCTAATAACGCCAAGGTCGCGGGTTCGATCCCCGTACGGGCCAACCTGTTTTTGTCTTATGTCTTACAACTATAGTATATCTATATTTAAAAGTGTAATTTTATTCAAGCTCAAATTCTGAAAATGAATGGAGAAGTTAGACATATATCCGAGCCTTACATGTTTAAAGTGCTGTAAAACCTTTTGAGTTTCTTGCACATGTCATGCTCAGTGCAGCACTCAATCCGTCTCTTAATGAGTTGTGATAGATTACTGTAGAAGGACTTTGCCCACTGGGCCTTAAATCGCTGGACGGATATGTTGCAAACTTTGTGGAGGACCATTACAAGTTTTTCATTGGAACTGACTTCACACCGTTTAAAGACCCATTCCCCCCATTCTTCCCACAATGCATCATCTGTGAAATTCACTGTAATGCTTTCATTGGTACACGGCGACTCTTGCTCTTTGTCATACAAGTTCCATATGGCTCTGCAATGAGGAGAAATACACAGATGCTTTAGAATTGTTGAAATAATATGGGTGCAAAATTACTTTAAATTATTCACTTACACAACCCTTGTCAAAGGATCAGGAGTCAAGTCACTGAGAGACAACAGACCTCTGTAGCTCACTCTGTTTCCCTCCATCCTGCAAGAAACAATATTCTATTAAATGCAGTGTCTTTATGTTCTCTCCATAAATGGTATCTCTATCCCCTTTCAGTTGTATAAAATCTATTACGTGCCATGATGTATCACACTTACAAGTGCCTTACCACAACTCCTGAAGCCTTCTTTTCACTCGTATGGCTCCTGTTAAAGCCTGCAGCTCATCATCACCAATGTTTGACCACCCAAGTCTAGATAGGGAACATAAAAATGTACACATTTTGTGGGTGACTCCCTCCTGTAATGCATTCTCTCAATTAGAAAACAAAACGGCACATAGGCTATGTTGTGGCCAAAAGAAAATCTTCTAAGAAATGTCTTACCCAAGATGAGTGATGCTCTCTGAGACCTTCAAAACATCTGCAACGACTTGAACTGCATCCACATCTAAGTTGTTTTCTCCAAGCCTACATGATCAAATTCACATTCAATATCTTGACCATTTTGACCCCTACACAAACATTGATAGCCTACTGGATGTGTTATTCACTGTTGCAGCTAAAAATGTTTACAAGAAAAGTTCAGTGCTGAATGAATAGATAAATGCTGATAATGAAAATTAAATTCCAGCCAAAACTCACCAAAGTCTCTCACATCTAAGCAGTTGTGGTTTAATATACTTTAAGGTGTCAGAGTTTACTCCAGTCCCTGTAAGATCCATCTCAGCTATATTACCTTTTGTTAGCTTAAGGAAATACTTGATGGCACTGTAGTCCATTTGAGAGAGTGTTTCATCACTAACATTGACTCGAAGTGTCTTTGGTTGCACTGCTTGACATAGCGAGGGGTCCTGTTGCTCAAATATGCAATGTAAGCAGTTCAGGATATGGCCCCCATTCTCACAGAGCATTGTAAGATCTGTCATGATCTTTTGGCGATAAGTGTCAACTTTTTCCTTCTGGCAAGTAAGTCCCACCTGCCTTGAGAGAAAACTAGCATTCCGGTCCGACAGGATACCCGACAGGAAGCGGCTGAACAGGTCCATGTGACCCTCTTTGCTCTGAATCCCATCGGGTAAAGGATGGTCTGTTACTGCACAGTAAAGTGCTGCAAAGAACTCTTGAACCGTCAGGTGAGCAAAGGATAAAACCTCCTCTGTGCAGCCAGGCTCTTGTGCGACTGTCTTGTCAAGGAAGGTACTGAGGAGGACGGATCCCTCGAGTGCTGCAACATCTTCATCACTACTGTAGAACAGGGTTTGATGCTCCGTTAGTTTTTGGAAGGCAAGTTGGCCCAGCTTCACCACGCTTTCAGACAGCTGATCATTGGTTCCTGTTATTTGGCCTTGAAAACATTTTCCCACTCTGGCTTGGGTGTGAGAACGAAGTAAGGCCACCAGGTACTGCACATAAATGTCTGTCATGGTCTTTGGCCTTTCTCCAGAAAGATCTTCGCTCTCCTTTAGGATGCAGCATACAATGTAGCAAAATGCAGGTATGTAACACAATGTCAGCATAAATTCATTTGCTGATACTGTTGTAAACATGCGGTGAGCAAGCACGGCGTCCTGGAAATATTTTGAGAAGAAATCTTGAACTTCTGGTAAAGAGAATCCAGCAATGAGCGCAAAGCGGTCGATGCTGCCCACAGGGATGTGGTTTACAGCTGCAGGCCTACTGGTGAGCAAGACAGACGCATTTGGTAGCAGTTCGCCCAGTAACAAACTCCCTAAGACCTTCTGGACTTCAGCATCTTCCTCAGGCTCCGTCACAAACTCATCAGTGTCGCAGCTCTTGTAGTGTCTGAACTCATCAAAGCCATCCAGGATAACCAGCAGTTTGTCATCGTTAGCCAAGATGGTATCCAGCTCCTTGGCGAGGTGTTTGTTTTTACGGAGGACCAACTCCCGGAGGTTTGTGGGTTTGCTAATTAGATTTAGGTCCCTGAAACTCATGTGAATAATGAAGTCAAATGCAAGGGAATTTTTGTTTCCCCCAAAATCAAAGAGCATTTTCTGCACCAGGACAGTTTTCCCAATTCCCGCCACTCCCGTCACCAGAACTTTCTTAACTGGACGGATTCCATTTGACCGTGAAAACAGCTCGGCAGGTGTGATTCTCCTCTGCACTCCTGACATCTGTTGCAAAGACAGACGCTTCTGCCCAAAGGTCAGTACCTCGTGTCTTTTAATCTCTAAGCCCTGATGACCATCGACCAACAGGAGGTTGACATAATGTTCAGAAAAAAGGATTTTCTCTCCATGTCGACTGTTGTAGGAAAGCATACTCTCACTTCTGCGCCTGAGAACATCTTTGTGTTTTTGTTGGACTCTCTTGTATTCTGCAAAATAGACAAAGCAGTGTCATTTTTCAGTTACACTGTCTTCCTTTAGGGTTTTTAACATTGAAGTATGGTCACTGGAAACATTTTTTCAAATATGCTTTTCATATTTCCTACAATTAGAGTAGCCGTTTCCCACATTTTACCGGTATACACCTTCACAGATTGTTTGGTTTGATGATAGTTTAGACTTTCGGTTTTGCCTCAGTGCTTTTCACGTAAAAAGAACCACACACCTGTTTTTAACATCCCTTTTTAGCATCAGGGGTTTGCTATGCAGTTTCCCTTTAGTTTTCCTCTTCCAAGAAATACAAGGCATAAAAAGTCTGCAGCTGACTTTATATTATCATTAGACTGGCAAAGCATTAACTAAATTATTCTACCTGAAAATGAATGCAAAATATCTTTAAACAATAGCTTCAGTCCCGCTTGGCAGTGATAAGATAGATCATGATCAGATAAGAGATTTTGCATCCACAATTTCTTAAAAGTTTGAATAAAAGTTCAATTTAAAAAAATGGAGAGGGGGACGAGTGTTGTTTAATGCTCATCTGATTAGTGACAGAAGTGTCTGGAAAAATTTAGAGCAACATGTTCTGCAGTCAGATTCTGCAAATTTTGGATGCTCTTTGACAGCAAAGATTGATTGCATTATAACTAAATGGATCCGTTCACCTTGACTCGTAGCCTAAGAATTCATGTCTTCTTCACTCTAAAGACAGAGACTGAGACAAAAACTCACAAACCGGAATCAAGTACACCCTGCCGAAGCTTTTCAAGAGAGGTGGGACAATATTTGATGCTGCTTCAAAATATTTGCATCTAAGAAGAGAAAATAATTGACATATATGTTTATAAGATTGTGTTGAAGATCCAAAAAAGGTTTATATGATTCTGTTTGATTTGAACTTCAAATCTGCTGTAGTAGAATACAGAATAAATCAAACAAATCTGGCACTGTCCAAATAGGTGGACTTCACTGTTTGAACAATACAATCCTAATGTCGGGTTCACAAATGGCATTTCTATGCTTAGAGCTACATACCTGTGGACTTAGGAGGAACAGTGCCCCCGTCATTGAATTGATGATGATGATGACTCCTAATAGAGAGAAAAAACCTTGCTGCTTCCTCACTTTTGCATTCCAGGATATCCAGCACTTTTCTTACTCTAGCCCGTGGCCCCCGCTGACACAAAACTTCCTCACAGTCATCGCGAGTGAACACCTCTTGACAGACCAAAACCTCCAGCATAGAATCAATCTGTCCTTCAAGTTCATCCACAAGGGAAACTCGCATCGTCCTCACTGCTGTCAAGCAAGATTGATCAAACTCATCTTCCGCCATGGCTGATTTGTGAAATTATCCAAAGCACAAATTAAACCAGAACAAGTCGTAATAAGCTGATGCTCCCAGTTTGAATGGTTGTTGTGGAGTGATGTTTCTGCTAGTTTGTGACTCTGATAAAAGCAGATCACTTCTTCCACAGCAGCGAAACCTAGAATGAAGTCATTTTAAAACATACAAAGGGGAAGTACTATGGCATTTCACAGAGAGCGCTGGACTGTTTTAGTGGTGTGGAAAGTCTTGTCATAATGTCAGGTTTGTTGTGGAACCCTCCAATGCTACACTGTATATACAGTAATATTTACTTGATGTTCTGGGTAAGGTTGGTGAGGGTCACGGACAAATTTTTTTAATAGTCGGACAAATTGAAGCACTGTACTTTGTTAGTTCAGGCATATTTTTTTTATTCATAAAGAGAAACACAACACACAGTTTATAAAAAGGAATGTATTTAGTTTTGTTTGTCAAATGGGGCATGAGCAGAGAGCAACACATAAAGTCACCAGTAGAGGGTTCCCCCTGCGTGAACGTCATTACTATCAGCTGCAGCGGAATGAAAGCTTGAGCCACCCCCAACCCGCCCCCCACCCCCAGAAAGTATTTACAGAACTATGCACAAGAAAACTCCAAAATAAATAGTAAAAATAACACAACAAATATCTACATAACTTAAGAGCATATGTATGTTTAAACGATATTTTCCTCCTGTGACATAATATCCACAACTCAACAACCAGTAAAACATAAAGTCAGAAGTGCAAACCCTGCTTATCTGGCACATAACTGAAAGTATGGTTAATGAGCTCTATGGGGTTCCCTATGGCACTAACCAGGATGTGAATGCGACAGTAAAGTAAAAAAGAACAGCAATCATAGGTAAGCGTTGCATTTTTTCTTCTAAAAAGTGTTAAAGAAGTGACATTTTTAGGGCTGCGTTAAATCAAAGGGGAGCAACTGGTCTTGTCTCATGCTAAAACATGCTGCAACATCACAAAAGTGGTTAAAAGGTCATTTTGACAAAAACTCAGAGAGATATCACAGAACACAATATCTACAAAATGTAACTTTAGAAACAAAACAAAAAATAAAAAAATAAAGACAACTCTGCAAGCCATGTTCTCAACAAAGACTTTGTGAGTTCCAAGTGCAACATAAGCTTTGTTTTGTTTCCAAAAAATGATCTGCTTCAGTCAGCTCCATTAGTGCAACCAATGCATGCAAAATCTGTGTATTGTCCTACTTTCTCTCCAACCAAAGACTGGGGATTAAAACATGTGCATTCTGCCTCCAACACCTCACCCAAAAGGGCAGCACGATTTATTCCCCTCGTGGCAGACACAAAAAGTATCAGATATTCGATTTTAAGTTACTTCCTGATCATTAGCAGCCTTGTGCTTTTGTTGTCACATTTATAGAACAACATTGTCTAGAAACCATATTAATAAAGAAAAACAACTCTCCAGTGGTTATCACTATCTTGTGGGTTTACCCAGAAATCTAGGGAATCATATAAAAAAGGTCTATCAATAATTAAGAAATGTGTACGTAACCTTTCATTAGGAATCTCCCATATTTCATCATGGGATTACCTCTGAAAATGTTGTTCGGTTGTTGACTGTTGAAAATATCCCAAAAGTACACCAGATTCTATTTATGTGGGAAGCCATTAGTCAATGCATGTGTGCCCTGTGTTCCCTTTTCAGAAGGCATATGGTCACTCTAGGTTTCTATTGTTTATAGTGGAATTTATCTATAATTTACACAGACTGGAAAGTAAAAGCAGTTTAAAATAAACCTTTGATCTAAAAAATAAAAGAAAAGAGAAGTGAAACTAAAGGCTTAATTAGCAGACAGGTTTTTTCTTTTGTAACAACGCTTTCAAATTGAAACCCACACAGATCATCCAGAAGGAAAATCACATCACAACCACTTTGGGTATGACAAAATGAAACTTCTTTTCCACACTTAATCATCCCAAGACTGATCACTGAGGACAGGGCTGGTTGTTAGGATGGGGCTCGAAGGTTTTAAGTGTCCGCTGGTACCTTCCCCAACCTCTCCAGACTTTCCACATGCCTGGTTTGGCACCTCGCCCTCAGGTTTTTCGGCAGGAGTAGCAGCAGCGGCTCCTAAACTGCGGCAGCGGGCAGAGCTCCAGCTGTCGGACCTTCTCACAGTACCTCGTACTATCTCGACATTCTCCTGCTGGAGTACACAAGAAGGGTCGAAACAAAGTCACTCAAATCCAATTTGAGTTCATCGGTCTGCTCAGTTCAGAGTCGTTAAAAGAGGAGGTTATGCATTTGAGTGGTAATCATGTCCTTTTTGGAATATTTTCATTTAGATATGTAGTTTTCATGAAAAAAAAATCACTTAAAGTACATCCTTAGTCATTTTTCTTTTTCGATTATTCTTTGTAGCTTAGCTTGAGAAAAAACCATTAGTTGTTACTCATTTTAAAGCCAGCAACTATTTCCTGACAAAATAAAAAAATTAGCTTTCCTCACCTCTGCCACAGGACAAAACGTTGCATCGCTGCCAGCTGGGGGGGCGTGGCCTCCACATGCAGTGGTGCTCTCGTGTGGCCTTGCCTGTGCGGTGGTGCTTGCAGGTCACCTGGCGTGACTGGAAGCCATGCCGCCCACAGGAGGCAGTGCACTGTGTCCATGGCCCAACATGCCAGTGCAGGGCACAGGCCTCTGTGGAGCAGTTCTTCAGGGAGCTCGGTCTGAAAGTGCAGCCCCCGGACGTTAGCTCGAAGTAGCATGAAGCACCAACTCAAGAAAGAACTGATCTTAAATGCATGTTTACCTCCTGAGCCCAAAGCACATCCTAGAGGTAACCTTAGTACCATTCTTGTCTTGGCAGTAAACGTATCGGTGCTGTGTAGCCAAACTGGGACCCACACACTGGCCATGACACTGAAATTGTAGCAAATTGACAGCAAGTTAATTTCTAACTGAGTGGTCTTTCAAATGTAAACTCAAGCTTCAGTCATAAAGAACAGTTTTTGCTTCGGGATAAATGGACTTACCAGCCCCCAAGGAGTTGCAGCCCATCTGGCACAGGGGAGAATGTTGCAGGGTCTGGCATTAGAGGGCTGTCTCCCCAGTTTAAGGCACTGTCTGCCCTCTACCTCCTTTAAACCAACGTCAGAGCCCTTCATGCAGCGGACATTTCTTGACTGGGATCCACCTCCACAAGTGGCTGAACAGGGTGACCAAGCATCCACCTGCCATCTAATTCACCCAAGGGAGAAATCTTTTTCATTTTGAAATTCGGGGGCACACTTGAAGTTTGCTTTATGTAAACACATCTTTGCCGTAGCGGCAGCAGACCTGAGGGAGCAGGCTGGTCCTCTGCACATCTTAACTGACTGACTGCTGTTACTCCTCTCAGGACAAGGCGCTCCACTTCTTGCATTGCTGTGACTGTGGGCACAGCTTCTTCCTTTTCCACCTTAAAATACAATAAACCAGAATTCACTTTTTTCGTACAGTTCAGTGAGGACATTCATGAGAACACATTCTGAAGAGCTGGCACTGAAATGAAAAGAAAAATAAAACAATCTTATTTTTGGTCCCTTTAACACTGTGAAACTGGTTTTCCCTAACTTGTTTCTATTTAAGTTATAATTTTGTTTGTAACAAAGATGGAAGCCTGGAAGTACATTTCCTTATATGGTTTTTTTCGTTCCCTTCTCTCCAACTCTACCAATTAGCTGTTCAAGAGCTGAGCCATTACATTGCCTTTAACTGATTTTGATTAAAATATAAGAAAACACAACTGGTCCATTTTCAAACACTTTTAAGTCTCTTTATCCTTTCCATTTACATTAGCTGAGTAGGGTTCGTCGAACTAATCTCCTTTGAAACATTGCCTGGAACCTGTAATTGTTGCAGCATGGAGAGGAAAAGTGCAGTAAAATCAGGAAATCCACATTGGCGGTGCTTTGATGAGAACGCAGCAATTTTCTGACTGATCATGCTTGGAAATGATGAAGGGCAGTGCAGCTCAGAGATGACCTGAGCTGTCATATGCACCGGACATTCCCCATCACTGACGCAGCCAGATGTGCCACCAATATAAGGAAAAGCTGCCTGAACTGTCTGCCTGTGGTTGCTCTTAAGTCCATGTTGGAAAAATTCTTTCCCAGAATCTCTCAGCCTGAACCACAAAAGAACAACACAAATTGCTGTAAACTGGATTACATAAAACTAGATTAGGACAAACGCGCCTTAACATCAGGTCACGACTTGTTTATTTTCAGCTACATCATGATGCGATGTTTTCAGTGCCTGTTAAAAAAAAACCCCAAACTTAATTGCAGACAAAGTAACCATTTAAAGATTTTGGTAAAGTGGTTTTCCTGGAGACTGAGTCAAATCAGTTCCATAGCTGATAGCCAAGATCTAAAGCAGTGCTTAATAAGTTAGTAGATATACCACAGTTAATAAACCTAAATAGGAAATAAGATTTAAAACCCATATGATCATTTAAATACTTTTTAACACACAAATAAAAAAATCAGCTGTATAAACTTTACCTGGAATGTGCAGCCACGATGAAAGAGATGTGCTTCCAAGATGATTTCTGGCAGTACATGTGTACAAACCCTCATCTCCTTTTCCTGGAGACTGAATCCTCATTGAACCATTGGGCAACAAGGCTACTCTGCCAGTACAAAGGCAAAACAATAATAGTGAGCCACCACATTTGCATGACAAACTAATGTACAGAGCTTTTCTTACCTTCCACTGAACAGTAACTGCTTTCCAGTTCTTGTCCATGTTATGGATGGTTGAGGGTCCCCCAGAGCCTCACATCTTAATTCCAACATAGCCACTGGTTTCTGAAGAAAAATTGGCCCTCCCACATAAAAGATTTGAGACTGTGGGACCACACCAACCTTCTTCGGCCGCTGGATTATTATTGGTTTTCTACCTTTGGATGCGTGGCTTTTGGTGTTTGGCTTGTAAAGGAGTGGTCCTTGTGTGGAAGATTCTGCGCTTTCCGGAGGATGAAGGGTAGACTCATTGGTTTCACCTTTGGTCATCGTGAGCCTACTGAACAGATGAGCAATGAGTTGTTCTCCTTGTGGACCTTCAGGGTCTTCAGAGAGGTTGTGAATGATCTCATCTAGCATGTGGCTATCAGCAATGAGCAGGGTGGGGATGGAATGTTCCTCACTTGCCCTCTCATCCTCTTGAGTTGACCTGTTCTTTTCACTAGCAAAAGGTTTGTCTGAATGTTTTTTCTCGTCGCTGATGGAGCCTTTGAGCTGAAGTAAACGCTCTACGAGGTTGTCATATTTGTTGAGGGAGATGGCTATCTCCTGAAATCTTCCAGCAGTTGCGGCAACATCAGGCTGCCAAGCCTTATTTTGACCACTGTCAAGCAGCCATGACTCAGGAACGGAGAGCTTTTGCTTGCTGCCAATGATCTGTAGGACAAAGTGTTCTTGTGCCTGGCCTGCGATGCATGTGTAAATCCCAGCGTCAGACGGATGAATTGGCTGAATTTTCACATACCCCTGTGATTTTATGGAGAGGTGTGGGAGGGTTACCAGAGGTTTCCCTTCCTTAAGCCACTTAATGTGCCCTTTGCGGAAGCGGTGGGTTGGACAGCGAAGGACCACGGTTGACCAGGGTAAGAGGTAGGCATACCCTCCCACAACTAAATGCACCTTTTTTCCCTTCCTCCACTGGATATAAACCTTCCTTTGGGCCAGTATGGTGGGATCAGCTTTCAGGGAGTCTGCAAATAAATTAGTAGAGGAGATATTTGCAATTTAAAAAGCTTTAAGTACTTATAACGTAGCTACTTATTCTTGCTCAGGACTAAAAGTGTGTTTCATCTTAAGATGACTTTAGCGTCCCTTACTTTCGCAGTGCCTTGGAAAGCATGGCCGGATTCTGATGGGTCGTGGCATCATGGAGCAGTTCTTAGGGTCTGTAGTCCAATACTGTCCATTTTCTCCATGCTGCTGGCAGGAAGCTTGTAGAGTCTGAATGCCATGTCCACAGGACACGGAACACTGGACACATCAATTAGAATTGACACCATTACAATGCAAACAATGCTGTTTCGATTTTCAGCTGACTCATGCGACAGAAAAATGACATGGTCAATAAATCTAAAAAGATTGGCAACCTGGGACCAATTAGTTGTGACCCACTGAGGTGGGCAGGCCTGCTTGCCACATGGCTGCTGGTTTTCAGGGCTTTTGGAGGGGCAAAAGGTGTCAGGCAGCTCCAGGATGCTTCCATCTGATAATCGCTGTTTGCATAGCACACGCCTCCTCTGAACTCCACCACCACAGCTCTGTGAGCACTGTGCAAATAATAATACAAAGTTGCCAAAAATAATGTGTACTTACACTTATTTATGTATTTGTATATAAATCAACAAGAACCTTTACCCGTCCCCAGTCATGTGTGTCCCACATAGGGGGGCAGTCAAAGCGGTTACAGGCTTGGACGGGCCTGGGCTGGGTGTTCGGGCAGTCCTCGTGCCGAAGAACAACGGTGTTGTTGCTGTCTCGAGAGGGTCGATGGGAACATACTACTTTGCGTGTCATCAGGCCAACCCCACAGGTTGCCGAGCATGAGCTCCACTCCCCTGTTTCCCACCTGCAAGAAACATATTCATCAAACTGTTCAAATCAATTTCAAATCAGTGCTTTTCATTTTTTCTTGTTGTCTAAAAATTGTGAAAATAAACAAATGTATAGGCAAAATCAATCTAAAAATGAACTTTCAAAGCAACATATAAGGACCATTTTTATGTTGCTGCCCAACATTATTTTAAACTTGGTCAATCCTGCATCAAAGTTAGTTTTAAGCTCTAAGCCTATGGTTTATAACCTAGACTGCTGAAACTTTACTTTCTGTTAGACCGTCTAAGTGATACTTCCAAACTATTCACTTTTATTCAAGGAGTCCTGGGGCAAAGCGGAATTGGGAATGAAGGCTGTTCATGGACTGGTACAAATTTAATCCAATGGTTGTTCCCGTTCAGAGGGAACACTATCCAAAAAGTGTAGCTTAATATGGGAGAGTGAGGAGGCCTTAGGGAGGGAGCAAAGAGCCAAAGGAAACAGGCCCAATGCAGCGTTTGTTGTGCGTAAAAACAAAACTCAAGGCCTGGAAAAACAGGCAAGGCCTGCCTGCAAGCCTCCGGATTTTCGGACAAGAGTGTGAGTGGTGGAGCACTGACAATGTGCGTGGTGTTAACCTGAAACGTGTGGCCTGCCACAAAATCCACCCACCGTTTCGTTTCAGTTCCGACTCTGTGTAAGAGTACTGTTTTTCTGTTCTAACCCCCGAATCATTCAGTTTTATTTTAATTACATTACACCATTTAAACAGTGCTGGTAGTCTTCACATCAAACTTTCTGTTGGTGACAAAAAAATAAATGTTTTGACAAAGTTTTTGTGGTGAATGTTGAAGAAGTGTTGTATTTTCAAATCTCGTTTAAAAAAGTGACTTTACTTAATTTTTGGAAGGTGCTTCCACATGAGCCTCCTAGTGTGTCCAAATGTGGAAATACAAGACTGATTTACTGTTGATTTATGCTCTGCCATTGGAAGGTACAGTATCGCCAATAACTATGCATCTGATCACAGTCAAATTTTCTGTATACCAACAAAGAAACGTGAGTTGTAATTTGTTCTTTACTTTTTCACTGCTGGGAATTTGAAAATTACTTTTACTTTTTGTCACTGAATACTCATTCAGAGGACAGCTAAATTCAATGTAAATAAATCAATATCAAATTCTCTACTTGGTTCAAAGGAGCTCATGTAATCAAAAGTTATTAGGTGTTGAAAACAAAGAGAAAGGGACCAACGGAGAAGCACTGGAGTTAAGGACCCATACATTTTCTATACAAGCAGAAGAGAAATCACAATGGGAAATTCTTCTGGGTCAATTAACCAATCAGTGAATACAAACTCTGTCAATCAAAAATTCAACCCTGGACCTCTGCTTTTGTCCATGGCTCGTTATTTCTTTATGCAAGATATTTAAAGGCAGATTGCTTGTGTTATTTTAGTAACCAACATTACAGTTTTAAATGTTCTGCGTATAATGTAATTTTGTCATATTGATCTGTGGTCACTTAAGGCTGCTTTTAGATCTCAGCCATGCAGGTTCAGTATATGATTTATGAATAAAACAGATCACAGATTTCCATGTTTCACATGCCTCAATTTCCTGCTTTAAATGCATCAATCTCCATAATTCTTCTTCAGTATTACTTTAACTTAAGTGACCTAAATCTAATTTGGACAATTCACTATTTTAAGTGGTTTGGTTTGTTCCGGACATTGTAAAAAATTAGAGGCATCTGAATACATTTTTGTATCTTTTTTACATAACAAACTATTGGCACAGATTAACTGATCCAGATGGTGTTGTTGGATAGTCTGAGATTTAAGCAGTTTCATATGTATAACCTGGGTATGCATCAAAGATCTCCAAAATGGTACATAAACATCTAAGGATACACTGTTGGCAGACAACAAAAGAGAACAGTCTGGTTTTAATCAGGTTTTCAATTAATATTTTCTTCCTAAATGCAGCCAAACCCTTCTCAGAAACCCGCTTCCTCCTCTTTTTACTGCATCTATCAAAGTTCATTTCAATGTGCAGACATAAACCATTTTAAACTATATTTCTATGATAATAACTGTGATAAGGACTGTATGTGGGCTTGACTGTACCTGGGTGGGCACGGCTGAGTTTTGCAGTCCTGTAGAAGTGATGGGGGCCGGCGGGCGCTGACACAGAGATTATGGTCAGCAGCCTCCCTGGTCTGTTTGTTCAGGCAGATGACCACAGCCTCCTGCACCCCTATAGTTGGACAGCAAACTACTGATACATACACAAACCTAAGAAACACCAATGGTATTGTATTGCTCATGCTCTTTCTGGCACGCTCTGGATTTCCAGTGCACATACTGTTCTTGTTAAGAATATCTGACTTCCAAATTATGATGCATATATTTGGGGCACTATGAACTGTTAGAAATAAAAAACTGAGACAGGAGGTTTTTTCATGAACACCCAGGTGCTTGAGTGGGCATTAACACATGTTGACAGGATGTTTAGGACATGTGTCTGTTCTTGGCACAGGATTCACTTCTGGTGTGCACTTGAGACACAAAACCTTCAGGGTTAACCTGGGTATTTATAAGCCAATGCTGCCATGAGTTTAGTCATCCACTGCCAATATAAGGAAATTTCATTGCAATTAAAAATAGTATTTGTTCAAAAAGCCCAAATGATTACTTAAAAACTCTCTCTGCACCTTGTTCAGTCAAATACTTAAATCTTCTTAGAGGGGGTTCCTCTAAAAAGCTGCCAAGCACTTTCAAAATCTAAAATTTTTGATCTCCACAAAGCAAGGGAAAGCTGGAAGAGGATAAAAACAATTTGCGTATAGCTATTTCCTCCATTTGTCAGGAGACTTTGAAATGACAGATATTAGGAACAGTGGAGGTCAGGTTGAGTTCTCAAAAAACAAAACTTTCTGAAAGCTCTTTTCAGGATTGTTGGAGAGGCAAATCAAACTGCCCATTTAATATCACAACCCTCAGGAGGATCTGGCAGACTCAGGAGTCTGGGATCACTTTGGTCATTCATTGCGTAGCAGCACCTGTGCAAATATGTGCTCTGGGTCTGCGCAACCCTATCACAGAAATCAGCAGCAGACGTTTCTGAATGCAGAAAAAACTGAGGATTAAAAAAAAGTTGGTGAATTTTAGAAACAAGTCTTCATTAAGTTTAAAACTACCTCCTTGGCTACAATGAGCTAAGGTACATTTAGAGAAAGAAAACTGAATTTCAAAAGAATTTCACTATAAGAACGCCTCTTCACCAATTAAATCAGGGACTGAATCAGTCATGCTTTGTGCTGCTGACAGAAATCAGGGGACCAATTTGTTTCTGAAGGAAAAACTGCTCCCGTGAATTGCATGAACTGAAACCTATGTAAGAAAAAAACCTGATCCAACCAAAATTTCTCATTTTCTTTTTCCTTTCTTTTGTTTTTGCAAAGCATTAAACGATGGAATAATCATGATAATATTTTTAGAAAATACTGTAACATCTTTAACTTTTGGAAAGTCTTTTTCTCTTTCTGCTCTTCTGATAAACAGGGGTATCCAGACTTGCATGCTGTATCTATCCTCTGAATTAAAAAAGATGTGTGATAATTTATCACTCTGGTACTGTATGTTTAATTTTAATGTAATAACATCAGAACAAAAGGATGAGCCATCAATCTCCACATGCTAAAATGATTATGTTAAGACTGAGAGTAGTCAACTAACCCTTATCTCCTAATCATTTGCATCTTTTGTTTGAACTTTAGCATGTAACTGATTTAGCCTTAGTATCTAAGGATATTTCTAAGTATAGCAATATCCTTAGATATCTTTTTAACTCTCTTCTTAATGTTATTTGATATTCTCACATCCGAGACATGACCCATACCTCCACCGCAACTCTCTGAGCACTCCGTAAAGCCCTCATACTCCCAGTCGTGTAGTTCCTCTCTTTGTTGTTTCTTGACCTCTTCGTGGTCTTCCTCCTTTTCTTCATCTTCTCCTCCGTGACCCAATCCTCCAGAGCACGGAGTACGATAGCAAGGCTGGCTTGAATCAGGTTTTACCCCCTCGCATTCATCATCGGGCAGGTCTGCAACAGTCTGGGAGAAAGACAGCAACACCTGGCATTTGACGGTCCGTTGCTGTGTCCCAGCACCGCATGTCCTGCTGCACGACTGCCAGGGACCAGGAATGAAACTGCAAAGAACAGCCAGCAGGTTTGAAGAAATATAAAAAGCATGATTAAATGTAACAATAAAGAAAACCTTCTGCTCATATAACATACACAAATAGGCTGAAAAAATTAGATCTGTCTACAGTTCAGCTATGTTCTCTTAAAAACAATATGACAGCAATTAAAAAATTCAAGCATTCCATATTAACAGGTTTTATTCATTTGCTGCTAGGTTCATAAACTCACAGAGTATTTATGAAATGCAGTCCTGCTGTGATTAATTGAGCAGCTGTAAAGCATTAAAGTCAAGCTATTGTAGGGTAAACCACTCTCAATTCACTTCACGCACTTCCTTCTTCATCTTTAACAATGGATAAAAGTAGGGAAAACTCCAAACACCTCCACCAATTCATCAGCAGGCAACTAAATCTACTTAAAGACATTAAAACAGTCCCGACATAAGATTGACTTGCTGATACTTTCCAGCTAGTGGATCTTAAATAAATGTCAGTACCTGACCCATTAAAGATTAAACGTTGTAATACAGGTATTTCAAATAGCCTCATCCAAAAATCTTTGTGAATTGAAAATGTGTGCACTGGCCACTAACAATGACAAGTCAGATCAGACAGGGCTTTTCCAAAGGTGGGGGCAGCATCCTTAACTTACGTTGGTTGTTAAAATTTGAATGTAGAGGCACCAAAATCTCTAATTACTCCGCTTATAATGTGTCTGATCTCTGACAAAATGTCACTTGAATCTTCTAGAGTCAGGCTTAGACTTAGCTCACCTGTTCTAGTTTAACTGTGGCATATACAGTACAAAATAATATTTCAAAAAGCCAGCTCAGCATATATGTAATAAAACAAATCATTGCTCAGAGTGCCCATATCTGTGGATTTCCAGTAGAAGCCCAAAGTAATTGTACGTGTACACTAAAAGTGCAACTAACACAGCAGCTTTTACTTATGTGCAGCATTCCTTCCTGTCTGACCACAACACAAAAGCTCCATGCTGTTTTATATGATACCTCAATAAAAAACTCATAATTACAGCAAGGTTGGCTCTTTATGAGCGCTTAGGGACTCATTGTGTTCAGGACAAACAAATGAATCACTGGTAGTTAGAGGTTGGAGCAGCAAAAACAAAGTCAACAGCAAGGCCACAGTTATGTTTGTCTTCATGGGTAGTTAAAGTGCATCTGTCAGCTCAAAAAACAATGTGGATTTCTTTCATGGCAGGAAACAACACATTTCTGTTATATTCAGCAGAGCCCCGTGATAACCCCATCAATTTCATTTTCATCAAAAGAAATACTGTGTACATTTATGGTTCAAATCTGTCACCTGGACTTATAAGTGGTAGGCAGATGTTTTTGTTGGATTGTGAATGACTTTTTTCTTTTGGTTTCATTATTCTCCACAAAAGAATCTAATCATGTTTTGGCGCTTCTCTCGACCCCTGTCGTGCTTCAAAGTTAAGCCAGAGTAACAGATGTTGTGGGAACGTTATTTCTAATACAAGTCATGCAGAACTCAAGGAAGTGTCTAACTATTGTCTGATCTGAGAGGACAGCCACTATTATTCTACTGATATGTGGGACAGGAAGATCTGAAAGATCACAGGATTTGATGAAGTAATGGCGGTACTTAGTGAATTTTTTTTAAATACGTTTTTTTTCTCCTGTTTTGCCGAAACCCTTATCTTCATACAGTATATTTATTGCACTTTGATGAAAAGCACAACAAACTCATGGCACCTAGAGGATGTGCGCAGAGACTTATTCTGTTGGACAGGTGTAAAGATAATAGCTTTAATTTCAACCCTTTTAGACCTTTTGCTTTTTTAATATTGTAAAGGGGAAATGTTATATTTTGTATATCCACTTTCCCTTTAAGATGAAAGTGAGTGGCATCTTTGCATAGTTTTCCCACTTGCATGACAAATCCCTGCAGCTGTAAGCTCCTGAGCTCAGCTACTCTGTGTTCTGCAACACATTTTGAAGCTTGAATTACAAATAATTCTTTTAAAATAAATACAGATGTTCTTCTGAACTTTCATGCCATCAATTTATAAGTGTGTGAGGGTTACTCACGTTGGTTCCTCTGTCACAGTCACCTCCTCCTCCAACTCTATTGCCTGCTTCTGCCACATTGGTTTTGCTTCAACAGGGAGTGTATCTGAATCAAAGGGCACAGAAATGCTGAACATTGCATAGGAACCTTTAGAAAAAGCTCCCAGTATATAACACCAAAAAAACCTACCAATGGACTTGTAGCAGGGCACTGTAACCAGACACTCCTCCTTGATGTGGGGTTTGGTGGTAGGACTGCAGCCTCCAGCGTGGAGTCCCCTGTGATCGATGCATAACACCACCCTATAGCGTAGACCCTGACCACAGGTCACTGTGCACTGATGGCGAAAGGGAACAAAAAGGCTCATTTCCTGCTGTCAAATGTGAGGCTTCCAAACTAATAGCTAAAGTCTGAAAAAAACAAAACAACAAAAACTGGAGAAGCAGCATGAAAAGCAGAAAATCAATAACAGAATATGAAAAATGTTCTCATGGTCCAGTCAAATTGAAAAGCCCAACCTGCTTTAAACGCTGTAATGGGACCTTAAGAGAGCCATGTATGACCTCAACGAACTGACACAACATCAAAAAGAAGAATTGGCAACATTCTTCCACATTGACACGAGAGACTGATAATGTGAAACACAAAATTATTACTTCAAGATATTGCTGCATAAGTTTCTTGTTTAGGATCAAATGTTTTGTTTCATTCAGTCCTGAAATATAAAACCTTATTTATAAGAGAGTGTGTTTTCTTTTTCACGTTACAGGACTTTTGCTTGTATTTGATAGCAAGCCTCATTCTACAAACGAGGTAAAGAGTGAGACCCTCTAAAATCCCTACTAGACCTTGCTTGTGTATCTTCTGCCAAAACAAGCATTTTAAAGGCAGAGGAAGAATGTGCTACACAAACAGCATCCCATGTTTTAAGGGGCCCACAAATCTGGCTCCCTGGGCTTCAGCATGTGAGTGTTTGGCTGGTGAAGCAGGATAAAAAAAATGCCAATGAGGAAGTTGAACGGAACATTTCTGGAATGACTGGTAATAGCTGCTCTGCAAAATGGAACAATACGTTATCCAGATGCATTCTAATGAGGATATCAGTTTGTAATGAGATTAGTTTTAGCCTGGGCAGTCAAAAAGTTCCTGTCACATTCAAGATGCTTCTAGAGTAAAAAATAATAACAAATTCAGTTGTCTTTGAGGTGTGAGGAGAATTTTCATTGGTAACAACTCAAATTACAAGAATTTACCACGCCTTCCAGCATTTGGTTATTATGGACAGTAGCTGGAACTATAGTTTTCTATAGCACTTACATTTTTGCACTACTTTTCTAAACATTTTTGCTTACATTTTTATCAGCTTTAAGCAGGAAAAATGTGTTCTTTCTCCCTTTGCTTGCCGTTTTATCTTGGTCAACCCCTGCGAGTTCTATTGATTACACCTCATTCTTGTCCGTTTCGATTTCTTAAAACCTAATTGGCCAGTACTTACAGGTGACCACTCCTGCGCCAGCCAGGTGGGGCACTCGAAATCATTGCAGGGCTGCAGAATTGCTGTCTTTGGAGAGTAGAGACACTTCCACTCCTCTGTAGGAGTTATGTTTCCCTGCATATCCTCTTCCACACACGACACCGAGCGGCTCTGGATGCCCCCACCGCAGGAGGAGGAGCAGGCGGTCCAGGGACTGCTCTCCCAGCTGACACGTTGTAAAGTCACACGTCATGAAAAGATGTATGGATATCAGTTGATGTTAAGATTTGCCATGCTTGTGCTTATCAATGGTTACTTCACAGCTGGCGACTACATACCGAGGCAGAGGGTGGTAAAGGTCATAAGGCATGATTTCCTTGTAGCCATCACTGCAGCACATGAACAAATAAGTTAATCAGGATTTAGAATGGAAATTGTGCAGATAAAACTAAACAGGCCACCCAAGGGGAGGTACTCCTCAGAAAGATTAGTATGCAACCTGTCCAGGCAGGGCTCCATGTTGCACTCCTGCAGTTTGGGTTTGGGTTTGATGTTTTCTGGGTAATAATGGCAATACTGGTCCACCACCACTCGGCCGCTCCTCAGATCAAAGCACTCTGCAGACGTTAGCTGGTAACCTGCAGACAAGAGTGAAACTGTCAAACGGAACACTAAAAGAAGAATTTGTCCTCAGTCAGAGGACACAAAATCTGTTCCTTTCATGACTTTTTGTCAGTTGGTTGTAAATATTGTTGAAACGCGTATACCTGAATGATGCTTACCTCCACCGCATGTGACAGAGCAGGGGAAGAAGTCTGTCTCTCTCCAGCGATGGACGATGGGTTGATAGTAAATGTACTGGACCACACTATCTGCTCCACTGGCAAATTGCACCTGCAGAAGCAATCATGCATTCTTTTCTATTATTTCCATAAATATGGATTTTACAGTGATATTTTCTGACAATTATAACACTTTCTCCTCCTTTTTACCAGATGTGTCATCTTTTTTTATGCATATTTAAAATTGATCATGTTGATCTTACTGGCAGAATTAGAAGCAATTCAATGTCGGTATGCATTTGTGTCTCTTTGCATTTGACTGGTGGCTGTTGGAAGGACTTGGGAGCTCTCTCACTGATCTAATATTTAGTCTGTAAATAAATCAACTAAATGAAGCTGTTATTCTGCTTAACGTGATTTGAGACCCAGATTGTCAGGAACATAAATCACATGATTTTATAAACCTGCTTGTCTGCCATGAAAATATTTTCCTCTGCAGTGGGAATCACATGGAGCTGTTGGTTCGCCCAGATGAAATCAGTTTTCCTTAATCAAAATTTGATGTTCTGAGGTAACTCAGTTACAATGATTTATTTGACCTATAGTGACAACATTGTTAGGTTAGCTTTTGTTTAATGTAAGCGTTTGTTGGCTTAATGTTAGCTTTTGTTTTAATCTGTTAAAAGTATTTAAAGGCAACACACGATTTGAAGTGTAGATGATCTTCATAAGTAACAAAGCTTCAGTTACTCCCCATTTCCCGACCGAACACATGATAACGACAGAATCTGCAAAGCACCTTTAGACAGGATATTGGTTCTTTTAGAATTTTCTGAAGTAGAAATTCAGGCTGTGCGTCAGTCCATTAGTCAAACTCATTTTGTCTATTTTGAAAAATAACAGGAATATTTACAGCATATATACATTTCTATTGCCTTTCACTGACATTCATATGTTTTCTGGGGAAATTCTGACCACAGCTTTGTCTGACAATAATCCATTTGTGCAAACTTATTTTCCAGCACCGTGATCTAACCTGGCTGTGTGCCTTCAAACAGATCAGAAATGATGCCTACACAGCTACTCAGATTTCGGTCTCCTCACTTCCTATTTATTGTTCACTCCTGACTCATGTTTATGAGAAGGGAAGTTTTCACAGACATTTCCGAGGCTGTGGCCTCTATAATTTTTTATGTCCACTCACTTGACAAGGTAGAAAAATGTTGTTGTAGTAAATATTGTAGTAAAATACGTCAGACCTATAGAGTAACTGTATGAATCCAAGCAAACTTTTAGGTTTTAGAGCGATTTGTTCTACTATTAATGGATGCACAGTGCTTTAGCACATGTTGTCCCTTAAGGAGGGCAAGTAGACAAGAAAGTCATTTGAATTTCATATTTAAGTGCCTTGCATGTCCTCCAGTATCTTTAAATCTAAACATATGAAACCAGATCTGCTTTGCACTCTGCTGAAAAGAGTGAGGTTCAGCTGAAGTTCATAAATAAAAGCTTTATCTGAGCCCAGTTTGGCAAGGCTTAGCCACTTCAAGTTTTTCTTGGTAAAAAAAATTATATTTCTGAATAAATCTGTGGAAAAGAGATGTCAGCTGCTCGGGAGAGCGAAGCTGACTAATCATTTGCATTTCCCAACAAATTGTGAACGTTCAATAAGTGCTGTGATTTTTTTCAGCACCTAAACACAAAAGTGATTTTTCATATGGAAAAGTTTTGGTTTTTTTTTTTTGCGTGTAGCAACATTAAATCTGAGTACAAGCTGTGCTTCTTTCCATTTCAGCCTAAAATGGGAAAATGCCTTTTGGATGCAACAGATGGATTGTTACAGCATTGTAACGCTGCCCGCATTAGAATTTTTTTTTAGGAAAACTATAAAAACTGTAGTTCAAAAATAAATATGTGTTTGCAATTATTACAGCTGTTTGTTAGTCTAAAATCAAAGCATTTCCATTTTGAAAATTCAATGTCAACACTATGCAGCTCACCAACTCAGTTTTTTTTAGGGCTGTTTTGAAAAAAGTCAAAGATTGGAGAGGTTGTACTGGTAATCTGAGGATGTCAATAAATCTATTTTAGCAAGATTTCAACAGGAGGTATTTGTCTAACGGTAAAAATCTAGACTACAATAAGCAGTAGCTGTTTAATATAATGCAGTATATTGAGGGAATATTTTAGAGCAATACTCCAGGACATGCAGCCCAACTACTTAATATCAATGTTGCATTTGGCTCTCTCACTATAAAGTGTAATTGTATTTACTGTCACCACTGCAGGCTATTGAAATACCTAAAACAAACCCTTTGCCGATTGGAGGTCCTGATATGATACTGATGACTGTTAAATGGAAAGTTGAGTAGAGCTGCAATTTAAGCTAAAATATTTCCATTTAATTGGATCTTGATCCCTGTCTAAGTTTACACGGCTGGGAGTGGAATCCAGTTGATAGGCAAAGCATGTTTGGCACTTTTCACCGATTTGAACTCTCTCTGAAGGAGCTCATATGCATGTTAGAGCAGTCAAATTCACTGCACAGATGTTGTCTTTAACATATTTAAATGTTTCTGTTTCCAAATGATTCTGTTGTTATAACATAATGAATCGATCAGAGCAGAGTGATAGTCTGTAAATACACAAAGTAACCAATATCATCCACTATATTGAATTGATAATGTTAAAACTGTTTTTCTTTATTTGGCTCTAAAAAGGAGCAAACCATTGGTACATTCAAAGTCTTTTAGAAAAGAGAAAATGTGTGTTGTCTCTTTTCTCAATTCCATAATCAATGTTTATATGTGCTAAAATCATCTCTTACATTGACTGTGAAATCAGCTCCGAGGGGGCCAGTCATTCTCAGGACTTCTTTATCTGAAAGCTTCTGGTAGTCCAGGATGGTATTCTCCAGGTGGTACTGACCTGATTTGTCCAACATCAATTCACTTTTTTCTCCCTCTAGTGTTTTACTCTCTACATCTAAAGAAAAAACAGAGTAGACAACTAGAACACACTAGACACATCAGAACTGCAATTCAACACCAGGAGGATGATCATTTGTATTTGTTGTTTTTGCTACATCCAGTGACAATATCTTAAACATTTTCCAGCATTATTGTGTTGCTGCTTTATAACAGGTTGAAACAGGTGGTAAATCATGTGATGACATACATAAATGCTAATGAGATTACTCTAACAAATTTAGCACCAGACACAAACGTTATTTTCCCTATCTACGTAAATGTAAACAATTCAGTCTAGCTTTAGTGTTTGGAGGCAAACAAAAGTATCCCGGTACTTTTAGGAGGCTGTGGGCAGAGCAGAGAAGGCTGCCACAATCCCACCTGACCTCACTCCTGACATTAATCCAAACAGGCTCTTGTGTAATTCCAGAATGTAGTGTCAGGATATAAGGAAGCACCAAACAAGCGTTTAGTACAGACGCTGGTTTTAATGCTGAGTGTTTTCAGCTACTAAAGCCTGTAACTCTGTTACTGTAATATAAATACTGAAATATTGAAATTTAACATGTAATCTGTGTCCATAATAACCAGATCCTGAAAAGTAGATGTGGTTTTCTGGATAAAGAGCTCAAACATTTACATTTACCTGATTTTGATTAATCGTTTTTAAATTCACAATTATGATAGATAGATAGATAGATAGATAGATAGATAGATAGATAGATAGAT